TATTTAGCTTACCGTTGTTACACACAATTAGCATCACATTTGTAAATTTATTTAATCACATTATTGATTATTCATTTTAGATTTTTTGCATTACCTGTATTCTAACATTTGTTATATTTTTCAAAAAAAAAAAAAAAGATCAGCTAAGTTATTCTTTTCTCACTGCTTATTTTATTAAAACTCTCTCGTTTTTTTTGCTTTATTTGTTATTTTAAATTCATTTTTTATCAGATTTTGTAAAGGATGTGAAAGTTGCATTAAAACGATAAGAACGAATAATGTCAAAAAAATTAAAAGCTTAGCAAATTGGTAATTGTCCTACCAAGGAAATTTTTCAAATAAGCCTCTGTCGTCTGTTGTTGTTACTAAAACTTCTAACATTAAATATCAGTTTTTTTTTTTCATTTTCGATCAACTGAAAATGAGAATTTCCATTTTTGTTTTTGATCCTAAAATAACTAAATGAAACGCGCAAATCTGCTTCGCTCATACCATTTGATTTATTTTTGCAAATTAAATTTTTTCGATGAAAGGTGAAATTTGCCCCTTTCATAGAGAATAATGCAAAAAATAAATGTTTATTGCGCCAAATTTATGGCAAAAAATAAAAATGAGCAGTAAAAAAAAACTTTTGTGTATTATTTATTTAAGTATTATGTTATTTTATGTATCGTCATAATAAATAATGTGAATCAAAGTGATTCAAATAACGTGTAAATAATTCAAGTAACAATTTCTTAAAAATACTTCCCTAATTTTCTTTATTTTTTTATCCACAGTTTTATCCGTATAAATTTTAATCGCATTTTATCAATAATTAATTGAATTTCATTCACTAAATTTAAAATAAGCTTAAATCGCATGAATTTTTGAAAATATTGGAAAGTATATAAATTAGTAATAACACGTATTAGTTCATGCATAATTTATAATATATTTTAATATATTTTACACATAATACGATATTAATTATTGATGTAATTATAATTCACCATACTACATCATCATTTTTGCGATATTTTAGTTAATTACTATTAATATAATTAATCAGTTTTTTCAGTGCTTGTTGAAATGATTTTAAACCACTTCTTCTTCATAGCCAATAGTAACTACTAATGTTATTAATTAAACTATTTAAAATTAATAAAGTTTTAATTTAAAAAAACTTCCATTTATACTCATAAAACCAAAATAATGCTCAGTATTTGGTGAATTGTTTATTTATAAGTAAACTAAACGCTTAAACTCAACATTAGTAACATAGATATATTAGAAATAAATTGAATTACCAAATACTATCGATCATCATCCAATATTTATCCATTTTGGGATTATATCCAAAAAGTTCCACATTTCTACTCGTATGTCTTCCCATTTTCGCGCTTAATTTCTGAAGCTATACAATTTTGTTAATTTTATTAAATTTTTCATGTTTTTAATTGATTTGAAATTTATATCCAATATTTTTAAAATCAACTTTTCAACATTTTTGTTTGCTATATAAGAAAAATATCTATTTATTTGTTTTCAAAAAGTTTTACTAATTTATATTTTAGTTCCTGTTATTTCTGATTTAATTTGAAAAAAGTTCAAAAAAAAGTCCTTTTTTGCATAGTGAATGATTTAAAAAATTCAAAAATTTCTTGTACCATTTTTGTTAAAAGTCTTTTTTGATAATAATTACAACAAACGAATGGAGTTCAATGTAAATTTCAGTAAATTACATTAGTAAAAATAAAAATATTAATACATTACAATTTGTTATTTTATTATGCTAAAAAATTTGCATCCGCCTAAACAACCCAAATTTCTAACTGACCAAATTGTGTAAAGATATTAAAGTTAGAGCGGTATTATTTTTATTGAATTAAATGAAATTATTTATGCAACATCTTTTTCGCAGTATTTTAGCTAAAGGTCATGTTAAATGACCCGAGCAGATGATTTTCTGTACATCGTCATAAGAAGCGATTGCATATTACTTTCAATTGAGATTTCTTTTAAAGTTTTATAAGTTGTAAATCAAAAATACATTTCCGATTTTTTCGGGTACATTTTCTTTTGTACATACTTTCCTATCTTTTCATTGTTTTTGGATTATTTTAATTTATGTTGAACTTTTCAATAAATTGTGTATCAAAAATTTAAACAAATAGCAAAGAATGATAAAACATTATTTGCCTATGCTAATTTCAGATATAAAAAAATTTATTTTGTTGAAGTTTGAAAATGTGAAATTGGAAGAAGCTAAAATCAGGGTTATATAGACTACAAGATTGCAATATACAAGCAGCAAATTAAAAGAATGAACAATCCTTTTCAAAATTTTTTCAACAATGGAATTAACTAATTGCAATTAATATTTTATTTCTCGATTTCGCTATGTTATTGTATTTCTTACATAAAAGTGCTGTTTTCATTATACAATATTTCAAAAATAATAAAATCAAAATTTTCAAATTATTGCATTTAAGACATCATCCACTTATGTTGTTTGAAATTTTCAGTTATTTGCTTGTTTGTTGTTTGAAATTTTTTAGTGATTTTACAAAAAAAAAATGTTTGAAATTATATTTTATTAATTTTATAAGTATCGGTGAAAAAGAAAAGGACGATGAAAGATGTATGTTGCTGGACGCGCCCCAGGCGGTAATGGATTTTTTTTTTGTCCTCATAATACTTATGGTCAAATTTACGTTTCATCAGGCGCAACAACATCCTCTAAATAATCACAATTCAGAATTCGAAGCCTTTTCTAATGATCAACACTCCAGCGTACATATTACAAAAGATTATCCTCAGGTAAATTTTCCCTTAGGTGAACCTCTTTCCTTATTATAGCAAATTAAGTTATTTCTTTTAATTAATGCTACTCAAAAAATTTTTATTACTGTATTCAGAAATTAAACCGATCATTTTTTCATTTACCATTTATTTCTCATCAAAATTCGTAATTAATTAGCATTTTATTGTGAAGTGAAAATTGGTAGAACAATATGAAAATGTTATCATAATTATTAAATCTTTCCTTCACAATATAATGCTAATTAATTCAGTAATTATTTAGTCATAATCATAATGTTATTAAATCATAATTAAAAAAAGTTATTTTTTAAAAAAGTACTTAATGAAAAATTGTTAATTTGGAAGTATTACTTGTGTTATAAGAAATTTTTTCGGAAAAATATTTCATAAATGAGCTGTAATTAATTCGATTTTAAGGAAATATAATAATTACAATTATGAACATATTTTTGACAAAGTAAAAGAAAAAAATCTCGACGTTCCGTAGCAAATATTATGGTATTATTCATTTTCAATAAACTTATATAATTCTTGTTTCTGCGCAGAAATTAATATATTTATGGCATTTATATACACAATTCTTATCAATCGGTAATCATATCAGAATTTGCTTGCAGTTTTTGCTAACCGTATTTCTTTATTTATTTAATTAGTTTAAAGTAGATTTTTGCTAGCCATATTTTTTTTTATTTAATTAATTTAAAGTATACTGAAATTTCATCATTTTATTTCATTTGAATTTGCTCAAGTAAAGCTGTTCTATAAAATCCGCTTAATTCTATCTCTCCCTTCTTGCCTTTTCCTTTCCTGTCTTCTTCATTTTTCCCCGTTTTTTTGCAACCAAGCCAACATTAGAAAAAAATGAGAAAAGCAAATGAAAAAATTTTAAATGGTTGCATATATTTGAAGAAATGAAAAAGATGAAAGAGAAGGAAATAGAAAAAGAGAAGAAAAAAGAGAAGGAAGTGAGGAGAAAGAGGAGAGGGAAGGAGGAGGAAAAGAAGAAGGGAAATGTTTAATGGCAGAAAAAAAAAGAATTAAATTTTGACAAAAAGAATGGATAGATTGCATATATTTAAATTTATGTTTATATATGCATGCAAGAAAATTCCTCCATAAAATTTTTTTTTTCTTCATTTTCCTTATTTTTTGGTTAGAACTGAATCGAAAAATAGGCAAACAATAAAGCTATCTTAGCTCATACTTCAAAACAAATTTAATGCCTTTGATAACTATCAATAGACAATTTTCTTCCGAGAATGCACTGCGCTGCATAATTTCATTTTGTACATTTTGGATGATGGAATGAGGAGGATGGAATGAAAAGCGAATCATTTTAAAATAGGATCGTGAGAGAAGGATAGAAATAAAAAGCTTAAGTAAGATATGATGTTGCTTGATAGCATTCTTTATAGTCCCTAAATACAACTGATTTAGGATGAAGCCTGGCGCCTAAGCCAAAAGCTTTCTTTTGATTTAAAAAAAAAGAAAAGAAAAAAAGAAGGAAGGAAGAAAATTAGCACTCTGTAACAATTTCAACAATTTTCAATAGAAGTTTTGCACCCACAACTATTTCTTTCTCTTTTTCAGGAAAAGGACTTCAGTGATGCAGATAATTTTCCGGAAGGAAGGCTAGTTTTTTACATTTTTTTTAAAAATTTTTATGAAAGAATCATAATTTAATTGTTTAAGCAGATTATTTTTAAATATTTAACATTGACGTTTGCTAATTTAATTTTCACTTTTCAATTTGCAAAAATTTATTAAACATTCTAAATAATCTGTTGAAAATGCACAAGTATAGGATATAAAATGATTATTCGTATAAATTACGTCTAACACACCAATATAATATACCAAGTTACGTCAAAGATTCGCTACTTAGAAAACTTAACATTAATAGAGTTACATCCAAGTAATTCTATTAACATTAAATTGAAATAATGAAGTTCCCTCCATTTACAAACGCAAAAAAAGTGATATATGTATCATTTTAATAGTCATTCATATTTACAATAAAATTTATCGATTTACATGTTTTCTAATAATAATAATAATATAATGAAATACATATATTTTTTATTAATTTTATAGTTTCAAAACTTTATTAAAAAGCTCTAAAATAAGCATTTACAGTTTGAAACCGCCACACAATCCTTATATTAAAACTGCCTTCGATAGCAATTTCAAGACGCATGCAATATGTGAATCGTGGAATTCTGGCAATCAACCGGATAATTTACTCTGGTTTGAATTTATTCAAATTGTATCTTTTTGGTTGTTGAAAAGTTCCATTTCCACATTAATAAATTAATGTACACTATTTTATTTGTAAATTAATAATTTTCTTGTATTTTACTGTTGTATCATATTATCTCAATTAGTTGAAATGAAAATTGTTACTTTAATTAATTATAAATATTCCCATGATATTTCGAACAAATATAAATTATAGAAATGTTATCTGTCTATGTATGAAGCTTAGAGGAGAGATGAAAAATTAAGCAAATAAATTTACTAACAGATTATTTGCTAACTTCCCCTTTTACATATCTATGTAATAAATGGCCTACATGATAAAATAATGAAAAAGTCATAGCATTTCAAATTCTACCGTATGACAATTTAATCGTGCAACATTTACGTATCCTACCGTATAACCATTTACAATACTTTTCTTTTGCTAGGGCAGAACCAGCGGATCGTTTATTGCGAATTATTGGTAATGGCGTTGTCAAGGATGGCTATAATATGTTTATGACACCCAGTCAAGCTGAAGGTTCCCTTTTTAATGTAAAATTTTAAATTAGAAAAAAAAACTTCGAGCAATAATTTAATACAAAGTTTATTTACAAAATAAATTCAAGGCTTCTCTCTGAAGTTTAAATTTAGCTTGGAAATAAACTTGTAATAATCTTTGAAAAAAGACAAATTATTTGCGTAAATTAAAAAAAAACACGTTAACACACAAGAATCTGCCTATTAATTTATAGGCAAAACAACCATAGTATCCGTGGCTATATATATTGAATCGATGTCATCGTTTAGGACGCAAACAATGGTAATTGTTTCAAAATTTTCTTTTAAATTTTAAATTTGTACTTATTTATTCATTTTAAACTAATTATCAATAATAATAACAAATATATTTAATTTTGACCGTAACCGTAAGTGTTATAAGAATATAATTGAACAATTGTTTACTTTTGTTGTCAAAGTTCAAATTAAAAAAGTTGAAAATTTTATCAAAGTATAAAATTAAGTAACGTAAAAATTTTATTTATTTGAAATTCAGCATTTTTCAAATTCAATTTTCTTGCAGGATTTTGAAGTTGATATGTATCTTGCTCTAGGCTGGTATGATCGTCGCTTAGCCCATAACTGTACACATCCAGTGCTTGTAACACATAAATTCATTGTTGATCGTTTGTGGCAACCAGACCTCTATTTTGTTAATTCCAAATTTGCCTACCTCCAAGAAGTAACAACACCAAATTTCATGGTTATCGTTTATCCAGATGGCTTGATATTCAAATCTATGAGGTAATAGGCTGGCAAAATTTACAAATGTTGGCTATTTTTTAATGTTAGCCTTAATATGTCTTAAATATATATCAGGCTAAACATATGGTAAGGAATGAGTTGACTAAGTGCTTTTATTTTAATACATTGAGGCTAAAAATTCATAATATGATAAGTGGATAATTAGGAAATTTCGCAACATTGTAAGATGAATTCAATTCATTTCTTATTTTTCCATCTCACCTCAACAATTAAACTTTGAATAATTAAAACAGATTAAGTTAAGAATTTTAGAAGTTTCAAAAAAAATCGTACATTAGTCTTACATTAGAAAAAAAATCTTACATTAATCTTATATTATTAAATCTTACATTAGAAATGCAATGGTAAAATAAACGACAAGTAGGTTATCTGATAAATCTGATATGCTACATTAATATAGAATCTGGCACTTTTTATTTATTTTTAAATTGAAAAAAATGGAGCATATCAATTTTATTATCAATTCTTAAAAATATATAAAATTATCAATTCTTAAAAAAATTCGAACATTTGTAATTTTTAAAAATATTCAAGTTTTTTGCAAAATTAGCATTAACATTTTATAAAATTTTCCGTTTATCGAAAAAAAACTTTTCACTAATTATGATTAGTGCAGATGGATGAAAGAGAAATTTAATTTTGATCTTTCAGATTGGATGTGACATTATCATGCATGATGGATTTACAACGATTCCCAATGGATAAACAAGAATGTCCACTCATTATCCAAAGCTGTATGCTATCATTTTTCTCTTCCCATGAGAATATTTAACTGAAAAACAAAATATTTTCTCTGAAAAATTACAAATTCTTCCTTGCCAATATAATATGAATCATAACTATCTCTATCTCAAATTTTTCACAGGCAATTGATAAATTCACTCCTTTTGCATTTTTTTTAAATTTGAAAAAAGAAAAAATGAAATGATGTGGTGAGAATTAAAAAATTCTACAGTTTCTTTATTTATCATACAGAAAAGATATATAATCGTTATACTAATATATCCCGATATTTTGTAGAGCAAATAGCTAATTTTTCAGATGCTTACGTAGAAAATTTAGTAAATCTAACATGGCACGAAGATCCACCGTACTTTCCTTTTGGAAGTAATAGCGAAATTAAAACGAACGATATGGTTATCACGAATACAAGATTTGAGAAGTGCCTAACACCGTATAAGATGTTTCGTGGTTCTGGTAATTTGTTTCGTTTCAAAAATGCTCGATTGTAATTTTTCCTCTTTTTTAGTTTTTACTAGAAAATTATTTTTGTTTACTAAATATTTTAAATATAAATAAAAAAATTTGTTGATTGCATTTTAAAATATATGTTTAATGTTTTATTAGATTTGAAAAATTATCAATTAAATATAATCTTTTATGTGAAATATAAGAAAAAAGTTTTAAAAAATTTTGATTTAATATGAGCGGATAAAATGCATTAATAACTGATATTATTATCATTGAAATAATTGATTACATTCAGTATTAACTAATTTTCGATTTATGTGATTATATAGTGACTAATAAAACCTTCTAACTAATCCATTAGTACTATTTCATCATAGTGAAAAGG